CCTTAATTTCTCAACCAACTCATCTTTGACAAAGCCTCCAACGATAACCACTGGGGAGAGGAGAACCTATTCAGTAAATGATGCTGGGAAAACTGGCTGATCACATGCAGAAGATTGAAACAGGACTCCTACCTATCACCATACACAAAAATTAACTCTAAATGGATCAAAGACCTAAATGTAAAACCTCAAACTATAAGAATCTTAGAAAACACAGGAGACACCCTTATGGAAATTGGAACTGGCAACCAGTTCCTGATCAGAACCCTAAGTGCCCATACCATAAGAAATAAGATAGACACATGGGACCTCATCAAACTAACGAGCTTCTGCAAAGCAAAAGAAACAATCAAGAGAGCAGGGAGACAGCCCAAAGAAAGAGAAAAAATATTTGCCAACTGTATATCTGACAAAGGCCTAACATCTAGGATCTATAAGGAACTCAAGCATGCCAAAAGGAAAAAACAGCCCCATTAAAAAGTGGGCAAAAGACATGAATAGACACTTCCCAAAAGAAGATATACAGTAAGCCAACAGACACATGAAAAAGTGCTCAGCCTCACTCATCATCAGAGAAATGCAAGTCAAAACCACACTGAGATACCACCTAACCCCAGTAAGAATGGCCATCATTAATAAAACAATAACAGATGCTGGTGAGGATGCAGAGAAAAAGGAACACTTCTGCACTGCTGGTGGGAATGCAAACTAGCGCAACGTCTTTGGAAGACAGTGTGGTGATTTCTGAAAAGAACTAGAAATTGACCTTCCATATGACCCAACAATCCCCCTATTGGGAATATACCCAGAGGAATTCAAATCCTTCTACAAAAGATACCTGCACATATATGTTTGTTGCAGTTCTGTTCACAATAGTAAAAACATGGAACCAACCATGCTGCCCATTGAAGTTGGACTGGATAAAAAAAAATGTGGTACATATACACAATGGAATATTATGCAGCCATAAAGAAGGACAAACATATGGACTTTGCAGCAACTTGGATGGATTTAGAGTCAATCATACTCAGTGATCTATCACAGAAACAAAGAACAGAGTGCCATATGTTCTCACTCATTAAGTTGATCTGGAACAATTATAATACTATAAGAAGGCATTGTCAGTAGTAGGAAACTGTCAGCTGTGGGGGGTTGGGATTGGCAATTGAGAGAAACTGCTAAGGGAGGGAGGGGCACACCTCATTAACAAGGGTACCTGCATAATCAACATTTGTATGCCTAACCCTGAATTGTACACCACATCTTTATAATAATAAAAAAATGCAAAAATAAATTATATCTCAAAATATATTTTAAGTTGTATTTAAAAAGAAAGAAACCTTTGAATTAAAAGACTTAAAAAAACAATAGCAACTAATGGAAGTACAAGAGTGGGATTTTGATCCAAACACCCTGTTAAAAGAGAAAAAAAAAAATGTTAAGAGACCATGAGAAATTTGAATTCTGATTGGCTATGTGGTAGTCGTAAGGAATTATCTTTTGTGTAGGTTTGATAGTTATAGCCTTAGTGGATTATATTTTATTAAGAGTTCTTTCCCTTAAGGACATATGCAGAAATATTTGTGGATGAAAATGATGGGGTCTCTAGCTTTTGCTTCAGAATAATCCAGTGTGCGTGGGTGAAGGAGGTATCAAGGAAAACAGCTGTGATCAACTTGAAGCTGGTGATGAAGTTTATTGTGCTATTGGCTACTACTGTACATGTTTAAGGTTTCAATAATAATAAAAACGATTATGTATTTGCATTTTAAAAGCCACTGTTGGTTCTTGAATAGGAAAATGCTTAGTGAAAGTGTTTCTCTAAAACATGTTCTGACACTCAGGGATTAACTAGTGAGACATTTTGGAGGTTACTGCAATCATTTCAAAGTAATGATGAATAGACTTGGAGAAGGAAGAATGAAGATAAATGTCCTGCTCCATTTGTTTTGCTTGAAGTAAGTCAAAGGTACAGCCAACATTTCTTATTTGCAGTTAGGGGACACATTCGGTCATGGGAGCCTTGAGCGTTGTTTGAAGGGCTGAATTCCGTTGAGAGAGAGGGAGAGAGAGTGTATGTATGTATGTGTTGAGGAGGATATTGGATCTTTGAAGGAATTGCCAAGGAAGCCAGAGCTAGAGGAGGAAGCTTTGTGCTGTTGATGAGTGGACGGAGGACTGTTCATGAGATTAGGAAATGTGAGTTCTAGTCTAGCTCTGTGGCCTGGGGCAAATCACTAAACCTCACTGGCCTTCAGAATTCATAGCTGGAAGTATGAGAATGAAAACGTAGGCCGGGCTCGGTGGCTCAGCCTGTAATCCCAGCACTTTAGGAGGCTGAGGCGAATGGATGGCCTGAGCCTTGCAGGTTCAAGACCAGCCCGGGCAACTTGGCAAGACCTCGTCTCTACAGTAAATAAAAAATTAGGGCAACCCCTTTGGGTCCCCTCCCACTGTGAGAGCTCTTCTGTTCTCTCAAATCCTGCTTTCTAAAGAAAAAAAAAATTAGCCGGGCATGGTAGCACGCACCTGTAGTTCCAGCTACTTGGAAGGCTGAAGTGGAAGGATCACCTGGGCAACAGAGTGAGACTCCAACTCAAAAAAGAAAATTTAGATGAACTCTAATACCTTACTTTTGAATATTCTGCCAAGTCCCACTCTTCTATTATAGTGTCATTGTTTAAAGCCAGTAGTTTTGAAAGTGGGCCACCTGCATCATCTTGTGGGTAGGGAAATGTCAAAAATGCCCATCACTGGGCCTCCATCCCAAACATCCAGAATGATTTTCTGACAGCAAATGCCTGGGAATCTGCATTTTAGAAACATCTCAGATGGTTCTTATGAACAACAGAACTTGAAGAAAGCAGTTTTAGGGCTTGCCATGATCTCTTTTTCTTCAGATTGCCTCAAAAGGCAATCAGTACTTAAACTGCTTTTTTCTATGACTCTAAGAGATTTCAAAGCTTTATTTAAAAAGGAATAAAGGTGTGATCTAATTCTTATGACATTATTGCAAGTAGATTTAATTCCGTAATTTATGTTTTTAGTGTTTATTAGGAAATAATAGAGATACAAAAAACAACAAAATTATAGCAGCCTATTCTTTAGACTTAGAAGTGTTAAGCAAGTATATCCTTTCAGAATTTTTCTAATAGGTATACATATAAATATAATTATTTACCAAGGTAGGTTTATTTTCTCCATACAATTTTTTTTTTTTTTTTTTTTTTTTTGGAGCTGGAGTCGCATTCCATCACCCAAGGCTGGAGTGCAGTGGCACGCTCACGGCCACCCCAGCATCGACCTGCTGGGCTCCAGCGATACTTCCGCCTCAGCCTTCCAAGTAGCTGGAACTATTGGCACACACTACCATGCCTAGCTAATTTTTTTTCTTTTTTTTTTTGGATTTATTGTTGAGATGAGCCCTCACCTTGTTGCCCAGGCTGGTCTTGAACCCGTGGACTCAGGCAGTCCTCTCGCCTTAGTCTCCCAAAGTGCTGGGATTACAGGCTTGAGCCACCATGCCAGTCCTCCCATACTATTGTATGGCCTATTTTTAATACTCATTGACACATTGTGCTCATTTTTGTATGTTAATAGGTGTCCTCCTGCATCAACATTTGTAATGGCTGCATAGAATTGCTTTGTATAAATGTTCCAGAGCTCGTTCACCAGTTCTTATGGGCAGATTGTGATGTCTGCCTCTCTTTACAGTTTTAAACATGAAAACAATGGCATCTTTCTCTACCTTTGTGTACATCCTTAGGATAAAATATCTAGAAAATTACTGAGTCAAAGAATTTATTTTTTTAAAGTGATTTTGAGCACAATCCATATTCATTATAGGAAAAATATAGGGGAAAATTACTATCATAGCTGCTTCATTTTTATACAGAGTCTTCCAAATAACTTTTCTTACATAAGAGAGAGAGTGTGTGTGTGTGTGTGTGTGTGTGTGTGTATACTAATGTATTTTAATAAGATCACACAACACATGAAATTTTATCTGCTTTTCACTTAACCACTATAAACATTTTGCCTGTCAAACTCATTGAAAATTCTATGAAATTTTCTCTCTATAATATAGTCAGAATATATATAATTATATATAAATGTGTATTTACATTAGTTACAAAATATTACTTAATCTATCTTTTCTAACATAAGCAAACACACTCTAGTAGATGTGGTGAGAGAAACAAAGTTGATTAGAACTGTTTTATGCCCGCAAAATAATACTCTAGAAAGGAATCTAAAACCGTCACACAAATCATCTCATAGTTTGTATCGTAGATCCCAGAAGAGGGTATGGAAGGTAGGCTGTGAGGGTTCAGGAAAAGGATGTTATTTTTAGTAAGGGAGATATGAAAGGCTGAAGAGGCAGTGATGGGAGGGCTTGGTCATGTGAAGATGGGCACAAAAGGCATTCCAGGTGGAGGAAGGGAGGAAGCTAAGGCATGCTGTCAGGATATGAAAAAGCCCCCTCTGTAGGGTATCACTCCCTGCTGGGATGCAGTCCCTGTCCCAGTAAGGACCACAAGAGTAGTGGAAAATGCAGTTGAACAGGTAAATTGGTACCAGGTTACAGATGGTTTAGAATATCTAACTCTGTAGTGTGGACTACATTTCCTGAGCAGTGGGTGCTTTTTAGGTTTTGTCCCACTTTGTTTTAACTAGAATAGTTGTGGCATCAGAGCTGACCATCAGAGTATTACTCTGAGGCAGTATGTCAGGAGAGAAATGGTCATAGACGAGGGCAGTCAGGATGCTACTCCTATGACCTGAAACGAGGATAGGATGGTGACAGTCAGAAAAGAAGAGCTAAAAAGTTAGAGTGACAAACTTTGTGGTAATAACGGGACAGGTAAGAGTCAAAGGGGGTTTGAGTATAGGTGGCCAGGATAGCAGTCCCGTTTTAAATGATGAGTTGTAAGAATCTTTTTTAAACCTATTTTTTCATTCCTAGCATCACACACTCTATGCCCTCTCCTTCATGATAGGAAATAATTTGGAACATACCTGTAAGTGTGGAGAACCCCAGTCAGGAGGACTGTTAAGCATCCAGATATCTCAGCCTGAGCAAGAGGTGGAGACTTCAGAAGGAAAGCCCATTGGCAGCCAGGACACCTTCCCCACTCAGGAAACTATGCTGTCTCCTGTGAACCTGACAGACGACCAAATCGCCGCTGGCCTTTATGGTAACTTTTCCCACTCACACTTATTGGCATCAAGATTCTAGGACTAGCATTGCCAGCATCTCAACTTAATGTCAGTTTGCCTTATAAATTGACCTAGAAGAAAGATTATATTGTTTTGAAGGCAGGCCTAGAATACCTTTAAGATTACCAAAGGGCCAGGTGAGGTGGCTCACATATGTAATCCCAGTGCTTTGTGAGGCCAAAGTAGGAGGATTGCTTGAGGGTAGGGGTTCAAGACCAGTCTGGGCAACTAGTGAGAACCTGTCTCTACAAACTGTTTTTAAAACATTAACTAGGTTAATGTATGGTGATGCATGCCTGCATTCCCAGCTGCCCAGTAGGCTTAGGCAGGAGGGTCACTTGAGCCCAGGAGTTTGAGGCTGCAGTGAGCTGTGATCATGCCACTGTACTCCAGCCAGCATGACAGAGTAAGATCTCATCTCTACAAAAAGTAAATTAGCCTTGCATGGTGTTATGTGCCTATAGTTCCAGCTCCTTTGGAGGCTGATGTGAGAGGATGGCCTGGAAGTTTGAAGTTATAGTAAGATATGATCATGCAACTACACTCCAGCCTGAGCAACAAGTGAGGCGCCATCTCTAAAAATAAATAATTTTTAAAAAGATTACCAAAGAAAGAAAGCTGCACTGTACAATCCCCTTAATAAAACATATCTGATAGTGCAAAATTATGAAGTATTTTAAATAGCATTCATTTTTCCACATTCTGGCAGGGATAAAGTTTTTCCAGGTTATCTCAGCTGAGGAAAAACAATAATAATCCCTATTTTAGTGCCTTAATGGTTTTTGAGGCTCAAATGAGACACAGCATTACTTTGCAAGCAGTAAAGCCTGATACAAATGCCAGCTGTCATTGGTTTTGTTATGTCTGGAAGCACTAATTGATTTTTTCCCCTATTTTAGGAATATTCATGGAACTTTGAATTACTTTCTTTGCATGCATGTACTTTTCCAGCGAATTTTGTGCAAGTTTCTCATATATACATGCCAAGACCTACATTTTACATGCATGAGGAAAAAAATTGCACAGGGAAAAAGGTTACTTATTCATTTAACTTGTATGGGTATGAATTATGTTAATTTTGATCACCTTGATCCCTTTTTTCACAGTGTGTACAAATAATGAAAGTACGTTGAAGTCCATCATGAAGAAGAAAGATGGTAACAAAGATTCAAATGGTGCAAAAAAGAATCTTCAGTTTGTCGGCATCAATGGAGGGTAAGGAAAGATGGTGGGACTGGAGGTTAACATTGTCTGTCTGCCTCCTTTGCCTCCTGCTTTTTTGAGTCACATTTCAGCCTAGTCGGGGAAGCTGCCACATCTTGGTGATAGAAGATTCCCTCAGAAAGGGACATTTGGGCTTCTCTTCTCTTCTCCTCTTGATCTCTTTACGGATATGCCACCCTCTTAAGGATACCTGCTAAAGCTGAGCAATTTACGTCTCTCACCTCTAATCTGAAAAACTTAGTCTTCAACGAACGCAGCAGGCAGCAGCTTCCTGCATGGTGTTGGACAACTTGTACCTACCCATATTAGAACTGAGACATGAATAGAAAGAGACTGAGAATGTCACTCCATGGGCCAGTGATAGTCACCACTCCTTCATAATGGGTTGTTGTGCTTAGCTCTCCAATGTTCACAAACAGAATTGTAGGACTTTTCACCTAAAGAGTGAAAAGCCATGCCATCACTTCTTTGTTTTCTAAATAGACAATTTAGTGTTTGTTCCTTCTCTTCCAACTGGCACACATAAATAGTTAAACCTGTTTGTCCTACAATTAAACCATAGCAATTATTGATCAATCAATACATGGGCCCCTCAAAAAGCAACAGTACAAAGATAGTTGAGATAATATTTATAGCAAAGTGTACCATCAAGGTTTAACATGATGGTTGCTGTTTTACAAATCCTAATTAATATTGGATGTTATAGCCCAGGAGAGTGTGGAGGGCATATGCCAGAGAAATTATTGCTTACTTACATAGTCTATTCATCTTGACACTGGGAGAATTACTAGGGAAAAATAGGGGAAATAAATAAATAAGCAACTACAGATCTGGTTTCCATAGAGTTTGTTGTCTCTTGATTTCTACAGAGCCAGAAATGCCATAATTTTTTGTTTTGTTTTGTTTTTTTGTTTTTGAGTCAGAGTCTCACTTCATCACCCAGGCTGGAGTGCAGTGGCACACTCACGGCCATGCCAGCATCGACCTGCTGTGCTTCGGCGATCCTTCCGCCTCAGCCTTCCAAGTAGATGGAACTATAGTCGCACGTTACCATGCCTGGCTAATTTTTGATTTATTGTAGAGCCCAGGTCTCACCAAGTTGCCCAGACTGGTCTTGAACCCACGGGCTCAGGCAATCCACTTACCTCAGCCTCCCAAAGTGCCGGGATTACAGGCTGAGCCACCAAGCCTGGCCCATAATTTTTTTTAACAAGTGGTATATGACACCGATGAGCAACCCAGAGGTCCCTTCTAAGTCAGAACCAGTTCAGAACCACCAGACATTTAAATAGACTAAACCCTGAATGTCTGAGTACTAGGTCTAAAACCACTGGTGAAATTTCTGGAGTCAGCAGCTTTCCCTTCATAGAAATCTGTCACTGGGTCTTTATGGGCACACCTTGCATCTCCTGAAATCCCAATTGCCACCTAGGTATGAAACAACTTCAAGTGATGATTCCAGCTCAGATGAAAGCTCTTCTTCCGAGTCAGATGACGAGTGTGATGTCATTGATTATCCTCCTGAAGAAGAGGAGGAGGAAGAGGAGGATGAAGACACTCGGGGAATGGCAGAAGGGCACCATGCAATTAATATTGAAGGTTTCAAGTCTGCCAGGGTGGAAGATGAAATACAGGTTCAAGAATGTGAACCTGAGAAGGTGGAAATCAGAGAGAGGTGTGGTACATTCTCCTTCCCTCCCCTCACCCCTCCCACGTTTAATGTACTTTGGCAATAGAGTTGGCCAGTTCAGAGATTTTGCAATTATACCCATTTGTTTGGCTTTATCTGTTCCTCAGAGTTATGAACATCTTGTTTGAGATACCAGTAAACACAAGTACAGAGTGTGGCAACTCTTAGATCTCTTTTGGTAGCAAGTCCACTAATGCTTCCATTGCTGAAACACCTCACTTTATATTTAAGGACAAATTTAAATTTTTTGGTGACAAGCACACTTTTTTTAAGGTTTTGGATTTTATCTCTAGTCATTTATCTCGATACCAGTGTCAGCATTGTTATTATAGGATCATTGTGTGAATGAGAAACAGTTGTTTGGCCTCAACCAAAGATCGCATTTACTGTAAAGATAATGTACATCACTTACATGTCTATATTTTGTTGCACATTGAGTGACCAGGAACACCACAGAATGGAATTGAGAATAGTATAAATAGTATCTGAAATAGTGTACTAAACACTCTGGTTGGCTGAAACACATACCTAAAAATAGAGTCAGTTTTGAAGACTGTTAGCAAATATGGATTTGATGCTTATAAAACAGAGAATAGAAAAGATGGAAACTTCAGTATGGTTTTTCACTATGTGTTGTATAAATAGAACATTTCATAAAACTTACCCCTATTTAATTTGGCAAATGAAAGTTTAACTGCATTAACACAAGGTAAGTGTTTTTAGTTTATATTTTCAGGTGTTTAAAAATGACTCAATATCTTGTCATCTGGCTTTTTTAAATGGCTTTATTGAGATATAATTTATATACCATATGTCATCTGACTTTTAAATTTTTCATATGGCTTAAACACTTCTTGAGCCACCAAATGTGGGTTTAGATGTATGGTTGACTGGTCGGCATGGTACGTATGTGGTAATTTGGACCTCTTCAACCCTTAAGAGTAAAAAATATTTTTAAGAATTTATAACAAAGAGAGCAGAAAATCTCCAAATGTTATTTCATACTGTCACAAAGGCCAAAATGGTGAAGCCAAAGATACCCCCATTAAATGGCCCTGAGCTCTGGCTGGAGGTGTTGGCTCTGCACAGTGGCATCAATCCTTGAACTCCCGGGGACACCTAGGAAATCTCTAGCCAAGCACCCACCTCCACAACCTGCCTAGGCTGGCTTGTGCCCACTTGGCTTTTAAAGTGTTACAAAAGTCAGATAAAAATGACTTTCCTCATATAACCAATCATGAATTCTCTTTGTTTTTCCTCTTTTAGGTATGAATTAAGTGAAAAGATGTTGTCTGCATGCAACTTACTGAAAAACAATATAAATGACCCCAAAGCTTTGACCAGCAAAGATATGGTGAGTTTGACCTACAGACACTGTTGCCAGTCCATACAAAGCACATGAATGGACACCACTGTCAAGGCCATCTGTAGCCTGCCCTGTGTTGCTGTGGTTTGCATGCGTCTCCCCTGCACTATTTCTGGCATGAGTGGGCAGAGTGAGCATCATGCTGCCTAGCTCCCAAATCATACTAGAAGGGTTTGCCAAGGGCCCAGCTTCGGATGTCCTTTCCCTACCCTGTACTCTTCTTGGGGTGGAGACGTCTGTGAGGCATATACTTGCAGATAGAAGGGAGAGCTAATTGCAGTCAGTTGTCTTCTTTTTACATCTTTCACTTCTGTTTACAGAACCTTGTGATCCAGGGAGTAGCATCCCAGAACTTTTTTCTTAAGTTAGCATATGTTTTTAAAAGAAACCTATTTGGACTGAGGTCAGCATTCCTTTCAGTTATGAAACTGTGTATTATGTTCTGATGTGGAATGCAGGCCACCACTATTTTTAAACATAAAAATAACTGCACTTGTCATCTTCTCACAGTTTGAGAAAGTCAGAAGCAAATAGCAAAGAAATTGTGGTTGCCCTAGTGATCATGAATGTCACAACACAGGACACATAGTTTTATGGCAGTTTAATCTGATGTCATTGCCAAGTATGACACTCTCTCGCACTGAGGTTTTTATGTGCAGATTCTTTGTCAGCCAGACCAACCCTGTGATCGATAGCTGTAACTTTAGTGTATTGAGGAAATGTAGTTCCAAGACCCCCAGTGAATACCAAAATCCACGGATACTCAAATCCCATATGTAAAATGGCATAGCATTTGCATACAACCTATGTGTACTTTTTTTTTTTTGAGTTGGTGTCTCACTCCATTGCCCAGGCTGGAGTGCAGTGGCACGCTCATGGCCACACCAGCATCGACCTGCTGGGCTCCTGCAATCCTTCTGCCTCAGTCTTCCAAGTAGCCAGAACTGTAGGCACGCGCTGCTATGCCCAGCTAATTTTTTATTTATTGTAGAGACAAGTTCTCGCCAAGTTGCCTGGGCCGGTCTCGAATCTGTGGACTCAGGCAATCTACTTGCCTCAGCCTCCCAAAGTGGTAGGATTACAGGCTGAGCCACTGAGCCCGGCCCCTGTGTGTACTTTAAATCCTCTCATGTACTTTAAATCATCTTTAGGTTACTCATAATACCTAATACAAAGTAAATGCTATAGAAATAGTTGTTATACTATTTTTAATTTTTTTTTCAAATATGTTTGCTCCAAGGTTGGTTGAGCCTGAAGATGTGGAACCTGTAGATACTGTACTAAATAAAATTCCTGGCCAAGGGGACATAAAACTGCATACTGAAATTCATCAGTACAAACTAAATGCCTGGCTATACCTTGGTCACAAATAATAAAACCATGAAATGTCACTGCAGTGTCAGTATTTCCTACTAGGTTTAACCCAAATTTAAAACTGGTGCTTTGGGACTCCATATTTTATAGTAAACTTTTTCTTTTACCATTCTCCAAATACTAGGTCATGTGGTCTCTGAGAAGGCCTTCACAGTCCTGCAGCACCCCAAATTGGAAAGCGTGGTGTCATGCACACACTCTGTGATTGGTACATTTCTGTTGACTGAATTTTCCTTCATTGTAGAAGTATTTAAAGAATTGTGTTGTGAAAAATAGCAGACATGTGAGTGACCACAATGCCAGGGCCAGATAATCCTATCAGAACACTGATTATTTAGCAGCAGCAGAAGTAGGGCAGCAAGAGGACAGAATTTCTCTGCTTTCTGTGTGATGACTCCAAATAAATAGAAATCTGAATGTGTAAAAGACTGAGCAGAAAAAAAAGAAAAAATCTTTCCTAGCCAGGACCCTTTTCAGGTGACCCAAAATATGATTGAGTGGGTTAAAACGGAAATCAGTAGCAGGAAGATACAGAGATGGAAGCACTACAACTCCAATCCCACCTTTTCTTTTTTTTTTTTTTGAGTTGGAGTCTCACTCTGTCGCCCAGACTGGAGTGCAGTGGCTGCTCCCAGCCACCGCAGCCTCGACCTGCTGGGCTCCAGCGATCCTTCCGCCTCAGCCTTCCGAGTAGCCAGAATTACAGGCGCGCGCTACCACGCCCGGCTAATTTTTTGATTTATTGTAGAGATGAGGTCTCGCCTGCCCAGGGGTCTCGAACGCGCGGGCTCAGGCAATCCACTCACCTCAGCCTCCCAAGGCGCGGAATTACAGGCTGAGCCACCGAGCCCGGCTCCACCTTTTCTACAGAAAGGAGACTTATTGAGTTCTGGTGCTTTTGACATAGGCTTTCCATTTTCCTTTGATTATATTTTTAAACTTTTAAAGAGTAAGCAAAGCACAAATGATGGTAAACTCATATAAAACAAGGTATTATCATCACCATCACCAGCACTGGCTATGCCCACACTATGTTAAGCTTCAAGTGGTCCAAGTTTCACTTGACTGTCCATGAAGCAAGTGCCACGTCCATGTGTCCACAGCCTGAAAAATTCAGAGTGGGCTCATGATCAGAGGTCGATGATCCTAATGAGAAATGAAGTTAGTTCCTAACCTGCTTTTTATTCCCTTTCCATGACTGAACCTTTGGGATTGGGGTGGGAATTGGGTTAACTACGCACATATTGGTCTCCCAGTCTACAGAAGTGGAGGAGTTGAGGTTGGTCTGGATAGGAAGGAAGCAGCATAATTAAGTGTAGGCTAAATAATATCTTCCTGATTTCCATGAAAAACATTTGCAAGGCCAGCATTATTACATAATATCAATAGCTTGATAATATGTTGAGCCAGGCTTAAGTATTTTAATTCTCATCACAAACACTATGAAGGGAAGGTGGTGTCCTCATTTCTCAGACAAGGGAACTGAGACAGGAGATAAGTAACTTCCCCAGGGTCAGATAGCTCATAAGTAGCAAAGCCCAAATTTGATCCTCAGTAGTCTGGCTCTAGACTCTCTGTTCTTACACAGGGCCATATGGCCTCTTTCATAAAAATTAGAATATATGTGGTTTAAAATTAGGAGGGAGGCCAGGCCCGGTGGCTCAAGCCTGTAATCTCAGCACTTTGGGAGGCCAAGGTGAAGGGATTGCCTGAGCCCACGGATCGAGAACAACCTGGGCAACTTGGTGAGACCTCATTTCTACAATAAATCAAAAAATTCGTCGGGCATGGTAGCATGTGCCTCTAGTTTCGACTACTTGGAAGGCTGGGGTGGCCATGAGCATGCCACTGCACTCCAACCTGGGCGACAGAGTGAGACTCCAACTCAAAAGTAAAAAAAAAATCAGGAGGGATGTCCCAGTTTGCTTTCTGAAGCATCTCTTCGGGCTCTGGGTTTCATTGGTTGTTTTTGAGAGCAAATTCTAACTGCATATACTTTGACTATAAAAGGCCTGGTTGTTTGGGCTTTCAGCTAGGTCTCAGGTCTATAAATAGAAGAACTAATGACTGCTCTGTTTTGGCAGAGGTTCTGTCTGAACACCCTGCAGCATGAGTGGTTCCGCGTGTCCAGTCAGAAGTCAGCCATTCCAGCCATGGTGGGGGACTATATAGCTGCTTTTGAGGCCATCTCCCCTGATGTCCTCCGCTACGTCATCAACATGGCTGATGGCAACGGCAACACAGCCCTCCATTACAGTGTGTCCCACTCCAACTTTGAGATTGTGAAGCTGCTTTTGGACGCTGGTACGTTGGCTGCCACCATCCTTTCTCTAGCAATACAATAAAGTGGGTTGTGACTCATCTCAAAGTAGCTGGTTGAGCCACTCTTGAATTCTCTGATCATCTAAAATCCTTTTCATTGCTATTCCACATGACATGGCAAGAATATTGTTCTTGAGTCATTCATGGGAGGCTTGAAGTTGAAACAAAACTGGGTGACACAGATTCCAGATCTATTTTGAAAGGAGGTTTTGAGGATATTCTTGCTGCAGTTCAGCTGCATTCAAGTGAGGTGGATCCCTGGCAGTAAACATGACTCACGTTCCCTCCTGAGCTGAGTCATGCAGGCTTGGCTGGTCCGCTCTCAGGAGGTTCACCGCTCACAGGCCTAGAGTCACAGCTTTGGTGCTTGTGGACCACTCAGCATGTCCTTGCTCCACAACTACCATCCTGCTGTCCATGCGCAAGTGCGTGGCCAGCCAAGGGACCAGGCAAAGCCACTGTAACAGGCTATGGTTGATTCACCACGATTCTCGCCAAAATATACTCGGTGATTGGAAAATCAGCATTGAGCAAAGGAAGGGCTATTCTTACAATGACAATAGTGGAAATTTGCTATCCCAGAATATAGTCCGAGGAGATCTTAAACATGAAGTGAGGGAGTGAGGCATGGACCGGTCCCTTTGAGAAATCGTGAGCTTTCAACTTTTTATTCCACTGAAGCAGCCGAGTGATACACATGTCCCGAAATCACTTCTTTTTATTTTTGTAATATATATTTTTTACTTCTATTGTGTGACTGACACAGAATTCACAGTCTCTCAGCCTAATCAATGAGATACAATGTGAATACCTGATTTAGAGTAGGCAATAAAACCTCAGTTTTCCTAAGTTCTCTCTTGATCCACTGTCGAATTTTTTTAATGCTCTGTTTTGGGGATTGGAGGTTAATGCAGAGAAGAATTCCAAGTAGATTTATCCTTTTCTAAGTTTTCTTGTGCCTTATATCAGGGGCCATGTTAGGGTATAACTGCTTCCATCTTATAGGAAGGAATTTCAAGACTTCTTCCCTTCAGACTTTCCAGACTATAAACAGAGAAGGCGATAATGTCAGCCCAAGTTATTGTTTAAACAGAGAGGTGGATAATATCCAGAGAAACTGAAAATAAGATTTTATTATTACTTATGAAAGGAAGAATTTAATATTCCCTTAGACAATTAGAGTGGATGAAATATCTTGGCAAATTAAATGATTTTAACTCCATTGTTGGATGGTTTTGAGGAATCACTTTTCTCTATTTACTTAATTTTTACTGCTCACCATTAGAGGCTGAGATTCTGGCTCCCTGAGGAGTAAATCTAGGGTGCTTCAGCATCTGGGAAGAACAGCATCCCAGACACTGAGGAGCCTCACAGAGCACATGTACTAACCCGCTTCTCCACCTCACAGCCTTCTCTTTTTCCTTTTCTACATAAAACATACACACTTTTAAAAATGCCATTAATGTCTTAGTATGTTGTTGTTTGAGTCATAAGGTGAATTTTCATGGTGCCTTCTCACTCCCTTATGATAGAAACATTCTAAACATTTTCATGTAATATTTGTGCACACATAAAAACTGCTTTTAACTCTCGCCATTCCTCTCACTTCATAGAAAGTGCTAGAGGAGCTTTTAAATGTCTGAAGGATCATCTAGCCCCTGAAAACACCTTAAGAATTACAGGACTAGAGAAGGTCTAGGTCAGTGGGTCTGCTAAGAGGACTTCACTGCATCTGCTTTCAGACCACAAATTCCAGAGCTAGATGTTATAAGACTGGAATTCCAAACAAATCCGCATAGTAGATTCAGGGTCTCAGAATGAGTCATGTTTGGATTAAGTAGGTACCACCGTAATTTGGTGTTCCGTACACAGGCCTTTATAAATCCTTCTTTCCCGTAGAGCTCTCACTGCCTGCTTCTCGCCAAAACAGTGATTTCCTAAACACAGATGAATGCCTGGATTGCATATTCTTGTTTATTCTCCAAGGCAACTGTTACCTAGAACAACCTCACGGACCTCCAAACCGTTGCAGCTCAACCACCAGTTGCAAATAAGATGTGCTATAGAAGCTCACTGTCATTTCTGTTGCTTCAAGTCTTGTGAAATAGCAGAAAAACAAATTTTTTTTGGTTTGGAATGAAAACATCTCTTACACTTCCTTCTAAGTCACTCTTGGTCTCTGACCCCTGGTGCCATTTCACTGGGCATGGCCCCCCAGATGATATAAACCCCACTAAACCCTCAGTGCCTCCGTGGGGCTGCTGCCATGAAGAGAGAGCTGCTCCCGAAAAAGACTCCTTTCTCTGCAGATGTGTGCAACGTGGATCACCAGAACAAGGCAGGGTACACCCCCATCATGCTGGCAGCTCTTGCCGCCGTGGAGGCCGAGAAGGACATGCGTGTGGTAGAAGAACTCTTCGCCTGTGGGGATGTGAATGCCAAAGCCAGTCAGGTCAGCATACTTGCTCCCTGTGCTCCCGAGTGCTGGTCTGACGGGTGGGTGGCATCAGGCCTGCTGGGACCCCTCTGATGGAACAGATGCTGATGCACGCTCCCACATTGGCGCATGTGCTCTGGCCTACCCCAAGTCCACGTGTAACCTGGTGCTCCTTGCTGGCCAAACACACCAGTGAAATAGGGGCTTAAATGTGGCACTGGAAATGTCTCCCTCCTTTGCCTTGCCTTTCCTCTGTCGGCAGAAATTGTACAGAAACTGTGTGCCTGCATAAAAATGATTGGGAGTCCCCATGATACACCCAGTGACTGTGGCTTCCTCTCCTGTTGTGTTTTCATGCCCAAGTCCAGATGTGTCCACAGCTTGACTTTTAAACATCTTCTGAACTTCCCAGCTCCTTGCTCTGATGAGCAGGTCTTCTAAGCTAAAGTGAAAACTGGCTTCTCATTTTATGACCTTTCTTAGCTCATAGCTCACAAGAAACTGGTTTCTCCATGCCTGCCACCACTCCACCCCAAGTAATTCCATGTCTGGCTTTTGCCCCTCTGTCATCACACTCCTCCCTCCCCATCCCCCTGGCTCACTAAGGGCCACCCCCTTCCAGCTCCATATGTACTTCTGAAGTCCTGTCATTCCTTTCTGTAGGCAGGACAGACGGCCCTCATGCTGGCAGTCAGTCATGGGCGGATAGACATGGTGAAAGGCCTGCTGGCTTGTGGGGCCGACGTCAACATCCAGGACGATGAGGGCTCCACAGCCCTTATGTGTGCCAGCGAGCATGGGCATGTAGAGATCGTCAAGCTGCTACTGGCCCAATCCGGCTGCAACGGCCACCTGGAAGACAACGTAAGCTGTCTCCATTGGCCCTCTGGCCAGGAGCTCTGTGGGTGCTATTGGCAAGAGGGAGAGAACGAATTCTGCTCTACTCTCCTTGTGGGTTTGTGTTGCCATCCGGGCTACCTCTCTCCATGGCCCCAGCTTGGCTGCCATCACTATGTACAAACCAACACTCCAAAAACTAAAGCCAAAAGCAGAAAGATAAATAGACCCCACCCCAAAATGCATAAAAGGAAAAATGTGATTTAATAGGCATGTATGACAGCCACTCTACAAAAGGGGAATAAACAGATTGGCACTAGAGTCAATCAGTAAGGTGACTCCTGAGAAGTCCACTAAGCAGAGACGGCTGGTCCCCAGTCCATTTGGAAATCCAGGTTATTGGTCAATAGAAGCTGGGGTTCTTATGCGACTGAAACCGTTTCCTCCCACAGTGAAATGATGTCCCACCTGAAGTGAACGCAGGTGCTCCACTGGGGCCCATCAAGTGAATTATGTGACATTTCATAAGCCAGAGATTCTCGAATACCTTGGCTAGTTTGAGCACATTTCTCCATTTCTGCTTGGACTGGTCCCATCATTATCACTCTGATCTGCCTTTCCAGTTCCTAAGCTGCCCACATTCCCAGATAACCCCTTGACCGGGAAGCCTATGGGAGAGGGGATACTTCTGGGTGTCTCCAGGCCAAATGGGAAAGTAGCAACTGGCAGAAGCCATGAGAACTTGCATCTGGATGGTGAAACCGTTTGAAGGTCACAGAGGTTGGGCGGGGTTGGCTCTGTTTTTGAAAGCTTATCTCTGTGGTGCACAGATTGGAACCAGAAATTCCTTCAGCTCAAAACACCAAAAAGAGGGAAAATATTCTCCTTTACACTTAAGATCCTTCTGGACCCAGCAGGGAGAGCAAATCAGTGGGGCACTAAGGGGTGACTAGCTTCCCAGTGTCCGCTACCTCCACAGGATTAAACACAGGAGCTGCCCCCACTAGATCCCCTTAACCTTCCTTCAAGGGGAGGGATAGCTTCTGCCCTACCCTTCCTCAAGAACAGTTTGTATTGGGTGTGTTTTGCTTTTACTTTTATTCTTTTTCAACACAGAATAGCTTGTAGGTCCAATAACAAGAGGTCTTAGCGCCAAGTCACTTTTAGAAATCCTGGCAGCCTCAGCAAATTGCCTGCTTCCCTATCTGTAAAGTAGTATGAGAACATCACAGGCCTCTGGAAGAAAAACAGCTCCCAAAATTCACAGCATGGGTGGGAAGGATCATCAGATTAAACCACAGGGAGTCATTTTCTGCTCTTCATGGCCAGAAGGGATTCCTTATCTCAAGACTAGACAAAGAATTGATTGTGCTGCTGTTGGCCTAAATACTCCTTTATATCCATCTAAAAAAGTGGGGTTTTTTTGAGTTGGAGTCTCACTCTGTTGCCCAGGCTGGAGTGCAGTGGCATGCTCACGGCTACTGCAGCCTCTACCTACTAGGCTCAGGCAATCCTTCCACCTCAGCCTTCCAAGTAGCTGAAACTACAGGTACATGCTACCACACTCGGCTACTTTTTTTTTTTTATTGTAGAGACGCGGTCTCACCAAGTTTCCTGGGCTAGTCTAGAACCCCTGGACTCAGGCAACCCTCTCCACCTCAGCTTCCCAAAGTGTTAGGATTACAGGCTTGAGCCACCACGCCTAGCCATCCAAGTTTAATGGAAATCAAGCAATGAATCGAAATGTTTTCTTTCCCATGTATAGTGTTGCCCCTCATTTCCATAAGATACATCTATTCAAGCTGGCAGGATTGAGTACTTCCACATAGATGTTGTAGCATTAGGTAGAAGTTGGTAGGGCTTTAGGAACACAGCGCCCTTTCCTAGAGGAAAGTAAGAGATCTTGGACAAATTGCAGGGCCTCCTGACACACACCATGGTACTTGCCTGGTCATTTGTAATTATAAAAAAAAAGAGAAACTACATTATGTGTCTACCCCCCATCTTCTCCTACTGCCCCCTTCTGGTGGGCAGAGTGGTTGAATAAGAGTTCCTCATGAGCAACCTATGTTTGGGGAGGATGCACAGTATACAACCTCCCTGCTAAACACTGAGTGTCAGAAGGAACGGGGCGATTCTCCTCTCCACTGGGCAATTCTCCTCTCCACTGGGCTTTCTTGGAGGCGGAGGCTTACTGTGCCTCTCCACATCCTCCAGCCTCTGGACTTAGAGGTCCAGGAAAGTTTCCTAAAGGATTGAACAGGTGACCTGATGAGGAACCTGATCAGCTGCTGGAGAGTGTCTTGTTACTTTTGGCTGTCTGGAAGTTTAAGAAACCCAGCCTGGCTTGTTCTTTCTATCTGATCTTAAGGATGGCAGCACCGCGCTCTCCATCGCCTTGGAAGCAGGACACAAGGACATCGCGGTTCTTCTGTATGCCCATGTCAACTTCGCAAAAGCCCAGTCTCCGGTCAGTGTTGTGCACTTGGCAATTGTAAGTAGGCTGAGATCCACCAGCCTGGCAGACCCCCTTCCTCTGGGAGTTGACAGGAGATGCATGTTTTATGTTGACTGTGAAAATGGAAGTTTTAGTCTAGAGCTTAAGAGTTCATTGTTTCTGTCCCATCCTGAAGGCCAGGAGAGCCAATGCTCTGCAGAGACTGGGCCCTGCTTATCTTTGGGAGACAGATGCTCTCACAACCTTACAGGGAGGTTTTTAGTCTCTACAGAATTACCCAAATGGCACACTCTGAACCTATGGATACACATTGCCATGGTGCTGGCAGTGTTCCTAAAGCCAGACTGTGGGCAGCCTGTAGTCCAGAGTTCACTCTGAGCAGGAAAGTGACTTCTCAGTACAGCTGAACACACTGAGCTCAGCTGACTTTGGAGTTAAGCTTGCTACTGTAGACATCTGTCCACTTTTCTTGGCTGGAGCTCTCCAGTCTCTGGCTTACGTAGTTATCCACTGTGGTGGACTGAGTTCCTGTGACACAGGGCACACATCTGCTTGAGGTCACTTTTAACTCCCAACTGTTTTCTTTTCTTGGTCTCTAGGGTACTCCTAGGCTTGGAAGGAAGACGTCTCCAGGTCCCACCCACCGAGGTTCATTTGATTGACTGTATGCAAATAGCCCTCCATTGACATGCCGCCATTAAGCTGCTAATTGTTCCTGTTGGGTGACATACTGAATGTATACATGTTGTGCCTGAGCTCACCAGCAAACAGAAGCGTAAAGCCCAGGGCTAAAGGCTGAAGCTTTCACAGTGCAGAGACTGCCAACCAGGCCACCACGCCTCCTTCCTGGCCACCTTCTGTCTGTGTGGGGCACACTTTGACCCACCTCTGTTGCTGTTGAGTCTCTGCTCCGTTATGTACAGTTGTAGGAAATGGTGACCTGACCTGAACGGCACATTCTGTTCTTGCTCTCTGCTCCCACCAACCGAAAGAGGCATCAGTTCCTCATCCAGCGGCATCAGGTTTTAAAATTCTTCCACAAATATTGATATTTACTGCATGTGGAACCATCAGAAAACGCTTCTAGAATTCCATTCCAGGACAATTTTGCTGATTTTTATTTTGTCCTTATTATTTTAAAGTAAGGAAGTTGAGATGACTTTGATCATCATCAACCTGGACCCGGGCTGGTGGTTTCTGGTTTAAAAATAAAAGATGGAACTCTCAAAAAAGTATAAAAGAAAAATATTTTCATTTGATTTTATCTGATTTATCTGGATGTATTATATGACTTTTTATTAAAAAAGGATCTATATGAAATTGACACAGTATTTTCAACTTTTATATTCCATAGTCATTACAGACATGAAGAACTACATGTAACATGACCATATTTTTATTGATAACTGCACAACCCTGTCTGTATCTAACGGTAAAGGTGAATCATGTTAGAGGAACTGGCTATGTATTTGCCTCTAGAGAAACCTAGTGTAGTTCTTTGTATTTATGGATTCCTTTATACCATGTCACATTTACTTTGGTACTATATGTATTTAAGTGTTTGAAGTGCCTTAGACTCTTGCCATATTTCCAAAATAAAATTTCATTAAGCTCTTTTCCTTGTCCCTGCTCCATCTATGACAGCTGTCTGCCTCAGTCCTGTCGATTTACAGCAGCAGCAGCAAATGCTGACAGATGGACCACATGGAGAGGCCAAGCACGTGGTCCGTGGGTCTTGGGGGCTCTGCCAGGGAGGAGGCATCTTCTGAGAGCACTAGTCCATTTCCACAGCTTGACTCCTGCCTCAGGTTGAAGTCAGGAGGCTACAATTAGAGACTAATTAGGCACAGGCTCATCAGGCAGATAATCTCCAAGGAGAGCTTCGAATTGGCTCTTCTCAGGGACAGAAGTGCTAGTCCTTGACTGATTTGGGGTGCAACGGCTTGGGTGACTGGTTGGAACATGTCATGACAAGAAGGGAGAGGTGAAACTGGAGAGACTGTTTATTTCAGTGTACTGTTGGCCAGCCCCTGTTTTCAAGTTCTTTTTAAAGAATAAAGAAAATGGGGACTATCTCATTAAAATGAAGGCGCATAACAGCCAAAATTCAAACTAGGCGTTTTGGCACAGTTGCTTGTGGTGAATTTTGACCAAGGCTACTGTGAGAGCCAGGGACATTCGAAAAATATCACTGAGACTTTTCCTTCCTCCCTCCCTTGGCCCTCCCTCCTCCCCCCTCCAGTCTCCCTCCTTTCCTGTAATGATAGTTTTAATGTTAAAACTGGGAGCTCAGGAAGGGACAAGAGAAAAGACTTCTCTAATAGGTGTTTCACCATAATGCCTGTTTCACAGGGTCAAGGTCTGTATCTTTCCAAAAATGGGAGGTGCCGAGAGAGCAGCATTGGCAGTGCAGGCAGGCAGGCCGGGGCAGTAGCAGGCTGCTCTCCCAGGACCACCAAGAGGACCATCCTCTGCCGTGAACTATGGAAGTGAGACCACAACCACCTGGAGTCATAAGCCTCTCTTTCTCTCCCAGGACAGATCTGCCAGTTCTGGGATTTGGGCTAAATTTTGGTTCAGGTAATTATTCAAGCCCAAGTTCCTACAGATTCAAAATAGCACAATAAAGCAGAAGAGGTCGGGCTCAGTGGCTCATCCTGTAATCCCAGCCCTCTGGGAAGCCAAGGCAAGTGAACTGCCTGAGCTCACAGGTTCAAGACCAGCCCGGGCAACTTGGCGAGACCTCGTCTCTACAATATATCAGAAATTAGCCAGGCATGGTAGCGCGCACCTGTAGTTTTGAGTACTTGGAAGGCTGAAGCAGAAGGATCGCCAGAGCCCAGCAGAAAGATGCTGGAGTGGCTGTGAGCGTGCCACTGCACTCCAGCCTGGGCAACAGAGTGAGAGTACAACTCAAAAAAAAAAAACACTGTGTGTGAGAGAAGTTGAGCTATGCCTTGTTGGCCCTGTAATGGCATGACATGCCTTTTGGGCAAAGAGGTTTGTCTCTCAGGTGGGTTGTGGGCCTGAGAATTTTCTCTATTCCATCTGAGAAAGGAAAAACATTAATATAAATGAATGAGGAAACGAATCCCTATGTCTGCAAGTTGCCTTTCAGATTTCTTGTGCTAAATTTTGAAAAAGAAAATGATTGCTTTTTTTATCCTTGAGTGAGGTTTTATACAATATGACCCTCACTGCTGGGTAACACACACTGGCTGGAGCCTTGTTTGCTAATAACACTGGGCACTTAGAATGCTTTTTGTCAAATATCACAGAAAACATCAACAAAACAAAAAGCTGGTTCTTTGAAAGAATTAACAAGACTGAGGGACCCCTAGCCAGAATGAGCAAGAAAAAGAGAGAAAAGACCCAAATAAACACAATCAGAAATACAAAAGATCAGACCACAACTGACCCCAAAGAAATACAAAAGATCATCAGAGATTACTATGTATACCTATATGGAAACAAACTTGATAACCTCAATGAAATGGAGGACTTTCTGACATAACACAACCTCCCCAGGTTGAAACAAGAAGACATTGAGACACTAAATAGACCAACAACAACCTAGGAAATTGACTCTGTCATAAGAAAATTATCTACAAAAAAAGCCCTGGACTGGATGCCTTTCCAGCAGAATTCTATGAAATGTACAAGGAGGAACTGTTAGCAATCCTACTGAAAGTATTCCAGGCAATTGAGAAAGATGGAATTCTCCCCAATTCATTTTACGAGGTTAACATCACACTGATACCCAAACCAGTAAAAGATCCAGCAGAAAAAAGAGAACTACAGGCCAATATCCCTTATGAACATACATGCAAAAATCCTCAAAAAGATTCTAGCAAATCAGATTCAAAAACACATCTCAAAAATCATCCACCATGACCAGGTAGGCTTCATCCCCAGGATGCAGGGATGTTTCAACATCTGCAAGACCATAAATGTAATTAAATACATCAACAGATGAAAAAACAAGAACCACATGATTATATTATTAGATGCAGAAAAAGCTTTTGATAAAATGCAGCATCCCTTCTTGATAAAAAACCTTAGACACCTAGGTATAGAAGGAACATACCTCAAAATAATAAGTGCCATCTACAATAAACCCACAGCTAACAATTCTAAATGAACAGAAACTAGAAACATTTCTCCTGAAAACTGGAACAAGACAAGGCTGCCCATTCTCTCCGCTCTTGTTCAACATTGTGTTGGAAGTCTTAGCTAGGGCAATTAGACAAGAGAAGGAAATCAGGGGTATCCAAATAAGAAAAGAGGAAGTCAAGTTATCCCTCTTTGCTGATGATATGATCCTATACCTCAAAAATTCAAAAGAATCTGTCAAAAGCCTGCTTGCACTGATAAAGGACTTTGGCAAAGTACAAAATAAATGTGCAAAAGAAAGTTGCACTCTTATATACCAACAACAAGCAGGTGGAGAACCAATTAGAAAGCACAATCCTATTCACAATAGCCACAAAAAAATGAAATACCTCAGCATCTTCCTAACCAGAGAAGTGAAAGACCTTTACAATAATAACTACAAAACACTGCTCAAAGAAATCCAAGCAGACACAAACAAATGGAAAAATATTCCATGCTCATGGATAGGAAAAGTCAACATTGTTAAGATGTCCATCCTACCAAAGGCAATCTATAGATACAACGCAATACCCATTAAATTACCAACATCATTCTCAGACCTGGAAATGACAAAACAGAAATTCATATGGAAATGTAAATGACCATGAATAGCCAGAACTATCCTTAGCAAAAGAAACAAAGCAGGAGGTGTCACACTTCCAGACTTCAAACTTTACTATAAGGCTACAATAATCAAAACAGCCTGGTATTGGTACAAGAACAGGCATATAGACCAATGGAACAGGGTAGAGATTCCGGAAGCAAAGCCTCAATTCCTCAACCAGCTCATCTTTGACAAAGCCTCCAACAACAACCACTGGGGAGAGGAGAACCTATTCAGTAAATGGTGCTGGGGAAACTGGTTGACTACATGCAGAAGATTGAATCAGGACCCCTACCTATCACCATACACAAAAATTAACTCTAAATGGATCAAAGACCTAGACATAAAACCTCAAACTATAAGAATCTTAGAAAATGTAGGAGACACCCTTATGGAAATTGGAACTGGCAGCCATTTCCTGATCAAAACCCTAAGTGCCCATACCCTAAGAAATAAGATAGACAAGTAGGACCTCGGCAAACTGACAAGCTTCTGCAAAGCAAAAAAAATAAATAAATAATAAACCATCCAGAGAGCAGAGAGACAGTCCACAGAATGGGAAAAAATATTGCCAACTATATATCTGACAAAGGCCTAACATCTAGGATCTATAAGGAACTCAAGCATGCCTAAAGGAAAAAACAAACAGCCCCATTAAAAAGTGGGCAAAAGCCGGGCTCGGTGGCTCAGCCTGTAATCCCGCGCCTTTGGGAGGCTGAGGTGAGTGGATTGCCTGAGCTCGCGGGTTCGAGACCCGCCTGGGCAGCGAGACCTCATCTCTACAATAAATCAAAAAATCAGCCGGGCGTGGTAGTGCATGCCTGTAATTCCAGCTACTTGGAAGGTGGAGGCGGAAGGATCCCCGGAGCCCAGCAGGCGAGGTTGCGGTGGCCGGGAGCAGCCACTGCACTCCAGTCTGGGCGACAGAGTGAGACTCCAACTCAAAAAAAAAAAAGAAAAAAAAGTGGGCAAAGCCGGGCTCTGTGGCTCAGCCTGTAATCCTGTGCTTTGGGAGGTAAGGTGAGTGGATTGCCTGAGCCCGCGGATTCAAGACCTGCCTGGGCAACTTGGCGAGACCTCATCTCTACAATAAATCAAAAAATTAGCCGGGCATGGTAGCACATGCCTGTAGTTCCAGCTACTTGGAAGGCGGAGGCGGAAGGATCGCCAGCGCCCAGCAGGTCAAGGCTGCAGTGGCCGGGAGCGGCACTGCACTCCAGTCTGGGCGACAGAGTGAGACTCCAACTCAAAAAATAAATAAATAAATAAATAAAATAAAAAGTGGGCAAAAGACATGAATAGACACTTCTCAAAAGAAGATATACGGGCAGCCAACAGACACATGAAAAAGTGCTCAGCCTCACTCATCATCAGAGAAATGCAAGTCAAAACCACATTGAGAGACCACCTAACCCCAGTAAGAATGGCCATCATTAATAAAACAACAACAGATGCTGGCGAGGATGCAGAGAAAAAGGAACACTTCTGCACTGCTGGTAGGAATGCAAACTAGCGCAACCTCTTTGGAAGACAGTGTGGTGATTTCTGAAAAGAACTAGAAACTGACCTTCCATATGACCCAGCAATCCCCCTATTGGGAATATACCCAGAGGAACTCAAATCATTCTACAAAAAAGATACCTGCACACATGTTTGTTGCTGCTCTATTCACAATAGCAAAAACATGGAACCAACCATGCTGCCCATTGAAGCTGAACTGGATAAAAAAAATGTACATATACACAATGGAATATTATGCAGCCATAAAGAAGGACAAACATATGGACTTTGCACCAACTTGGATGGATTTAGAGTCCATCACACTCAGTGATTACCACAGAAACAAAGAACAGAGTTCC